AATTTAAAAGGAAATATATTATTTAAACAATCCATTATTTGCAATAAATGACATATTCATATGCTTTTTATGTATACCCTCCGTCTTCAAATATATTATTGAACGACGAGTTTTACGCGTTCAGGAGTGGTTTACACAAAATACAGCTAAATTCCCACAAGATAATAGTGATGTTGTTATTGGTCGATATGCAGTTGAACAAGAAATGAACAAACTTACTCTTCTATGGACATTATGTGGTCTTACTTGCAATGACTGTAATCTTAAGTGTTTAAAAAATCGTGATCATAAAGAAGGACATGATTGTTTAACTGATCATGAATGTCATGCTACTTGTCAATTTACTGAAGCGCATGTAAATAAAAATCTCATCCCACAATGCAGCCACAAAGCTGGTCATGAAGGTACATTAAATATTATAAATTACATTAACTTTTTTATACATATTAAACTTCAAATTAATTGTATGATTTAAATTTTTAGGAAAACATGCATGTTCTCGTATTAGCCATTTATGTGGAAAGCCTTGTTGTTTTTCGGACAAACGAAATTGTCAAAAGAGATGTTCGAAAGAGATTGGTCATGAAGAAGAGGATGAAAACCATCTGTGCCAATCTCCGGTAATTAATAAACAGATTTTTTTAAATTTATGATATTGAATTACTAACTTTTTTCCTTATATTAGCGTCATTATTGTGGAGCACCATGCTCTTTGGTTACTAACACGTCAAAGGGTGACTATAGTTGTCCGAATAAATGTATTATACCATGTGAAGAACAGCATGATTCTCATCGGGTATATTATTTATTATTTTATTGTAAAACTAAACTATCCACGTAATGGCAATAAAATTAACTGACACAATAATTCCGTCCTTTACAGTGTGAAAATGAAACATGTCCTATTCCATGCCCGATTAAAGATTGCCAACGACGTTGCAAAAGCGACGACCATTTTCATGCCTACTCTGAATTCGCGGTAAATCATTTTTGTGGAAATGAACATCAATGCCAAGAATTTTGTGAAGATGCTGGTATTTGTAAAGTCCAAACTGAACCAAAAAAGCAGGAGGAAACTTATAAAGGACTTGTTGACAATACTTCAATTACTTTTATTAAGGTATGACCTAGTGAAATTCTTTTGTAATACTTTGAATGACAACTATAAAAAAAAATCATTATTCTTATCATTATGATAGTATATCCAAGTGAATGAAAGGTTACAATGCGGTAGAAAGATTCCACCCGATTCATTCAATCATACGGGAAAACATTCCCATGATCCAAACGGAGAGGGCGTACATTATTGCGATAAAAAATGTAAGTATAAAGTTTATTGATAAATATTTTATTATCAAGTCATTAACTCGTATTTTTTTTTAAACAGGCGTCTTTTGTGAATATTACGTAAGCTTCATTTTATTTTTCTTTTTGGTAATATTTAGGTTATATGTCATAATCATTTATTAAAATGTCAATGGTTATTTTAGTGTACTTTACCATATGGACACATACAAAATTTACATGAAACACGTCATGGAAATATGATTCAAACAGAATTTACTGCAGAAGATAATGAATTTGAATACGGAGGGTATGCATAAAAAGCATATGAATATGTCATTTATTGCAAATAATGGATTGTTTAAATAATATATTTCCTTTTAAATTTATTGCTTAGTCATAAATTAAAAGCCGGAGATGAAGGAACTTTTGTATTGTGTAGTTTGGTATGTAGTTGCACGAATGCTTATTTTTAACGGATTTTTATTAATTACTTTTATAATTCCAGCATTGCAAAGAATTAGGCAGGCATCGACACATTGACTATTGCAAAAGTGAAGATGCTTGTAAATTCAGTACAAATCAGAATCAAGATATACAACATATTAATGGTACGTATTTCGAACCCCTCCAATTTATCATAGCTTGAATTTGACATTTATCAACGCTTGTATTTAACTATAATTTTTGATTATAGGTCGCGTTCATCCTAATCCTAATGAAGCAAAAGATTTTATCTCACATCGGCTCTTCTGGGAGCGTACTGGTTTTAAAGGTGTGTAACCCGAACTATCGATTCATTCTTAAGATATGCTATTAAATATTCTGACTTGAGTCATATAATTAATTAGATCCATATACAGTTCAAGAGCAACAGGAATTTGCTAGGTGTGATCATGAATGTAAAGATGAAAAACATCATAAACCACAAAATCCAAATGGTCCACCACCACCCAAGTCTTATTGTGAATTGCAACTTTTCCACGCTCCACTTGACCCATCTCAAAATCCACCAAATGGATATGGATATATTTCTCTAGACGGGCATGTAAGTTAGAATACAAAATAAACAAATTCTTGTTTCTAAATTCGTTAAAAAAACTACTCGAAAATATTTACGCAGGTTTTATTTAACCACAATCTTTATTTATATAAAGCACTTTAACTGCGAAAATCCAAGCACACGCGAAGCCGCATTTCACATAGTTTTTGTCTTGGATCGATCTGGTTCAATGTCTGACAGAGACAAGAGACCTCTACAAAATACACCAATTTATAACACTCTTACTCAAACTCATAATAATCGACTTGGTGCTGTTTATAATGCGGTGAGAATTTACTTTTTGTATAAATATAAATTTTGTCAAAAATTTTTTATTGACCTTTTTTTTTTTATAGGTTCATTCGTTCGTAACTACTCGATTTAATTCGCAATCTGCACAACCCAACACGCCTAATAATATTGTAGCCTCCCGTGATACAATTTCTTTAATCCTCTTTGACCACGAAGTGACAGTTGGAATTGAAAATGAGCCATTAGCAAATTACAATAGCTTTATAACCACGATGCTTCAATATAGTGCAAGAGGCGGAACAGATTTTAATAAAGCGATTCAGAAGGCCGGATTTTTAATCGATAAACATTTTGATCCTACAAAGTATGTAATAAATTGCCTCTTTTTTTTTTAAAAAAAAAAAAAAAACTCAAAAATATGCACAATTCTTTTAGAACGAGTGTTGTCGTATTTTGCTCAGACGGAGAATGTGGAGTACCCGATGCGCAATTAAATCAAATTTGTTTGAGAAATAAACAAAGAGGGTAAATGACATTTTATATTTTATATTCATAAAATTTATTAAATATTTTATTATTGATACCAATGACTTATACATTTATTGTTAAATTCGAAAACTTTGTAAACTTTGCAGATCACCCATATTTTTATACACTATCTTATTCAGCAGCGATATGACCAGTCCATCGTTACAAAAAATGGCAAATATTGCACAAGGTTATCTTCCACAACAAACTTCTGCTGGAGCATTAAAATGTCAATTTACAAGAGCAATCGATGAAGTCAATCTAGTTAATACTTTTACTGGCGTTGCAGAAAGCTTAAGAAAACATAAGCCCGCATTGTTAAAAAAGAATATCTAAGAGCTTAATAGAATTATATAGTAGATTATTATTTTTTTTTTTTTCTTGGAAGTTCAATTTGAGTTTTTTTAGCCCTTTCCACATGAAAGTTAAGTTGTAATGAGCTGATATACTAAACCCTACTGCAAATTTGAAAATAAATTTGGCCTAGCGTTTATTAAAAAGATTTAAAATTCATCTGTGCGATCACTTAATTGATGTTGAACCCCCGATGATAGATTTTACTTGGCAGCACCCATATGATTAAATGCCTAAAGTCCCACGGCATTCGTACCAATGGGTGACGCCGAAAGAAAATTAGACTTCAATAATATAAAATTATATTATCGTTATCAAAGTTTGGTTCCCACGCATTCGTATCAATGGGTGACACCGAAAGAAAATCAGACCTCATTAATATAAAATTATATTATCATTATCGTTATCAAAGTTTGGTTGCCTTGGTGTCACCCATTAACAATTCTGGCCCTCTAACCTAACCCTAAAAAATAGACCCCAAAATTCCATCAGTTCAGTATCATCATTAGCAACGACAAATAGTTACTTTGAAATACTGATAAAGATGCTTTCAAAAATCTGTAAGTATAATTTTTTGTAGGCTATAAAATTCAATTTTCGATAATGCATTTAGCCTACTAAATAGCATCATCGAAAACCGATTGTAAATTGTTTCTCTTGATGCTACATATAAAAATTACTACGAGCATTAGGAGAAAACTTCTGTATAATCTTTTTTTTTTTTTTTTTTGATAGCGTGACTATAGAGGTTTGGCCAATAGTGTATACATATATATGTACTGTACGTACTACGTACATACCAAAAAAAAGCCAATATAAAGTCATATTGATATATGCTAACATTAGTTTTGTAAGTACGTACGACAATTATTTGGAGTATTTGGAACTTTAGTTTACTAATTTAGAAATTGTCTTTTTTTTTATTTAAATACGATATCGATACGTATAGTAAGCACCATCTAAATTATCAAAATGATTCAAATTCTTCCTAACGAATTACATATTCAAATTTTGACATTTGTTGTTACCGAAACAAAGTAGGTTTATGATGAAGATAAAATCATTCTCACTAAACTTTATTTAATTTCAATCATTTTAATAATAGTTTTGAGAATTTTTGCGCATTGAGAACTGTTTGCAAAAAATGGAACACATTTGTCCCTTTAGTAATGCACGAAGCCGTTATCTCTAAATTAAATTCTGGTTTAAACCTTGAAGTAAATAAATCTTTTTTTTTTTTGTGGTAAATTCTTGCAATAAATTTTAATAGACCTTTGGTTTAGTTAACGGACTGGAACGAAACAAAATGGTCTAAAAAATTATCACCAACTTATGACGATAATACCAAGACTTTTACCTTTCTGTTTGATAGTGCTGATGCCACTAAATCTCTCTATGATTATGAGAAGCCTCATGTACAAAATTCCAGTTTTGTAGCGTTCGTAAAAAGGAGTGAAGATGTATCAATTCCGCTTAAACTTGGATATAAATTCGGTGATTTAGCTTTTCCTGAATTTGTAAATAGTGATATAGATAAGTATGAATTCGATCATCAAAGTAACGTGTGTTTCAAACGAGAGATTAAGGTTGACGAAGAGGGTAAAGATATTAATTGCGTGAGACTTCATAGTTTCACCATTGCGGCTTGGAAACTTTGTTATATTTTAGATTGTCTTAAATCTGATCGGTATTTTATTTTTTTTTTTCTCTTTTTTTTTTATAACATTTGTGAATTCGCTCACGTTTTAGCTTGTGGATAGTGATCCTGGTCGATAATTATTTACCGGCTATGATTATGCCAATAAATTTTACCGGCTTAGTCTGCTTGTCGATTTTGCCGATTTAATTCGGAATTTACTTTAAAAATTTAGCTTTGATCCTACTCGTATTTTTATTTTCCTCGTCGGGGAACCTGATTTGGTCTTAACGTTGATAAATGTCAACCAAGTCGGTTCTAAAAAAAAAAAAAAAAATCGACTGGCTAAGCCGATAATTTGCTTTAGCCGATTTTTTACTATCGGCCATGATCACTACTTGTGAATATTTAATGAAATTTAACAATCAATCATATCCTGTTTTATAGCAAACATACGAATTTACGAAATGGATTTTACTATTATAATAATAAGAGGAGAATGTATTGCTTTTATGTGGATGATATGTACTTTGATACTTTAAGTTTAATATAAAACCTCGAAATTCAGCAATTACTGGAATACAGTAAAAGTTCTTTTTCAATATCTCTACCTTCGGTAATTAGCCGTTAGAATATTAAATTTTCTGATTTTTTTTTGAACTATTTAATAGCAACAATTTTACAATTAAGTGTATTTATTCTAACCGGTCAAGCTTTGTCAGATTTCTAATTTAAACAATATGAACATTGTCATTATCATATTATTATTAAAATAGAATTTTGTCATTGTATAGCTTCAAACATACTGCGAGTATTACGAGTGCCTAAATTATTTTGTTTAAATAAACATTTCGCCATTACTAAATTTTTTATATGAATGGCAAAAATTATACTATTAATATGTTTTCTATGAGAAGTTCAAATAATTTCACTAATAATTCTACTATTATGAAAATTAATTTTTCCACTAATAAAAACTGATCTAGACAAACTAATTAACGTTAAGAGAAGTGATTTCGGTTCCTTATGCATAACTGCGTCGGTCCCAAACTAATCATCAATTTGCTGACAAATAGTGTTGGGTAACTTACGTACGTAAGTGCTCGTGCTGGTGGTTATAACTTGCTAATGAATATATCTTTCAATGGCATCTCGATCATGGGAATAGAAATCTGGTGAAACACAAAATAAATACAAAAAAATTGCAAAAGAAGCATTCTATTATCGTAACGAGTTATTCCTTAAAGGAAAATCCCAAAGAAGAAGAGATCAATTGAAAACTGTTTCATTTGATAAACCTTCTATTCGTAAGGCTAAAACCTATGAAATATGCCAATAAGCCCACAAAAACATTAGCTTGAATCATCCACATTTTAAACCTGAAATTATTCTTGAAAATCTGTTGTCTTTCGAAAGCTTTTGTTATCTGAGTTTTTTAATGATTTAAATGTTAATGTTATGAATTCACCAATCTTTAACATTGATTTATTGGTTGATTGGGCTGATTTCCTTTGCGATCAAACTACTTATTCTAGCCCACTTTAACAACTATATACTATTAATATACTCATAATGTTTTTGAAAAATATATACGTATTGATATTTACATATTAATCAAAAGTGAACTCTAAACTTGAGAGATTGTTACAAGTCTTAGCGATCGCTTTATAAACAACTTACAGTAAAATCTTTAGAAAGATATTAAGAATTGTTTATGAAAAAAAATTAAATTTCTAATACCAAATGAAATATATAGAATACCAAATCTTGTATACGTATTTATTGGCTAAATTTACTAACATAACGCTCAAGCCTAGTGACTTGAACCGAATAGAAAATCATCAACCGGTTAACCGAACTGGGTTCAACCGGATACAACTGGCCCAACCGAATTTATTTCGGTTAGTTCGGATAATCCGGGTCAACCAAGTTAACCGGGTCAACCGGGTTAACTGAGTTAACGGATCAACCAGCATAATAAAGTCTTATTAAAGTAACAATAAGGTAGCTGCGCGACGCGACACCAGGAACGTAAATTTATGAATGAGCCAAAGATTTTATGCAATATATCAGCTTTTCCAGACTGGTTCAAATCATGTTCCACATGTGACTCAATTGTGAAGTGAATTTCTTAACCAACAATATAGTATTTTTCATCTATGTTCATAATCACTAATCAGGCAATAATTAGGAGATTATAATATTGGCATAATCTACAACTTTAATATGTTGCAAACCACAATAGATCACAAATTTTACATACTATTGAAATTATGGATTACCTGCTGTTGAAATTACGAATCTATCCTCTACTAAATCGTAAACCTTCTATTAAAGTTACGAATCTATTCACTGTTAAATTGTTAAAATTGAATTTTCAGTAAAATAGTTTACTAATTATTTGATATAAAAGTTATGCCAT